CCTTCCTCTCTCTTCACTAATGCACAACTTGCTTCTCCTGGCACAGCTTCGGTCACACTATCAGATGACCCCGAGTCACCCTGCGCCGGGCCACCATTGCTGCTGGAGGTGCTCAAGGCACCGAATGAGAAGCAGGGGTTCCAAACAGTAGCGGTAGAGTCCTGGTCGGATTGGGTGAGCAAGAAAGAGAGACAGGGGCTCCATCGACTCATAGATGGAGGACTCTCACCTCGGTCTCTCTACAACCCGGGCAGCAGTGTTTTGTTCTCCAGGGAACTGGCCCAGGTTGCCATGGAGAGCGACCGACGCGCACCGCGCTGAGAGTGGGGACGGAGAGTTGTCTCCAGACCTTTGGAGGGACGCCTTGCTTTGCCTTCCTCCCCTTCTTCGTGCCCCGTCACCAGCTCTTTTCTTTCAACTCTTTCCATGGAAGACTCGACCTCTTCGAGCCAAGAAAAGGAAAACCAGCAAGTGGGAGAAGCCGTGCGGCTGTCGGGGGGACGCGCGGCAGCTTCCGCCCGGGATCCCGCACCCCAGCAGCCGGGGCCCGGCGCAAGGCAGGACTTCGGGGCGCCCCAGCAGCCGGGCCGGGCCAGCAGGGGCGCCCCCGAGTCTGGCAGCGCTCGGGCCGACGCCCTGGGGCCGCCGACTGGCGAGAGGGGCCTGCCTGGAGGCGGGCGGCGGGAGGCTGGCTCCGCGCCGCGTCCGCCGTGCAGGCGGAGCGGCGCGCTCCCTCGAGCGCAGGAGCTGAGAGCCGGCGGCGCCCAGGAGCGGAGCGCCGCGCCGCGGGCCTCGCAGGCCGGCTGCCGCGAGCTCGAGGTCGCCGTGCGGAACGCCAAGGGCTACCTGCTTCGGGTCAGCAGCAAGACTGGCTTGAGCCTGTAAGTCTCAGATGAAAAGAAGGCGAACCTTTTGACCAAGAGAAGGGGGACCGGGTATCTGCAGCAGTGTATTTCTCTAGGTAAATGGAGGTACATTTCAAAAGACATTATAGGAAAGGAAAGTCACGTAAACTGTCATCCCAGCACTAAAAGCAGACTGGCCTTGAACTTACCTTGTAGCCCTGCTGTCCACTAATTCACAGCCATCCTCCTGCCTCAGCCTCCTGAGTGCTGGGACTACAATGTGCACTACCACACCTGGCTAGCAGGGAGATTTCTTAAGATTTTAGACTCTGGAGCACAGAACTAAAACGTAGGATTTATGAATCTTGTGCTTTGAAGAGAAAAATAAAGGCAAAGAAATGTAAGCATCTTTCCAGGATGCTTGTAAAAAAATAATTGTTCAAAACGGTAGAGAAGGGGGCTGGGGAGATGGCTCAGTAGGTTAAGCGCTTCCCTGGCAAGCACAAGGGTCTGAGTTCAATCCTTTGTTCCGCAAAAAGAAAAAAAAAAAAAATTGCCACAACGGTAGAGAAGGCCTGTGTCTGCAATTTTTTTTAATTATCTGCAATTTTTTTTTAAATTATGTGTCTGCAATTTAAACATTCTAGTGCTTGTGTACTGTAGCTGCAGCTACATTCCAGGCCAGTGGTGTGGTGACCAGGATTCCCAGCTTCCTGGGACTGTCTTGACTGGAGCTCTGAAACTGCACCCTAAAAAAGCCCTGAATTTTGGATAGCAGGAGAATTTGTCATCACACAGGGCTCTCAGAACAGCCCCACTCTACCCAGGTCTGTCTTCATATGTGGTGACCAGCAGTTCAGGCATGTTCTGGGCACCTCATTGTGGTTTCAATTTCAGAATTCCTAACAGAACCACTTTCTACAGATTCTTGCCTTTATGGGTACATAAGCAGACTCTGTCAAATGTTACAGCTAGAAGGACTTCAAAAATACCAGACTGACTTGTTTGTTTCTAAGGAGGGAACTGACTGCTAGACTACTTCATTTGGACTCAGGGCTCAGGCAGTCACTGGCTCACAGCCCCCTCCCCTTCTCTGCTGTAGCACATGGCCTGTCAGTCCCTGTGAACCCCTGGCCTGTTGGCCTCTCTCCTAGATCTACGCCTGGATGGCTGCTGGCCCTTCAGAACTCAGCCTCCACGGAGCCCAGTTACACAGCCTCACCATTTCCCTCAGAGGATCCGAGGCCGTTAATAACTGCATGCTTGTTCCTGGACTTACATTTAGTGCCTGACTCAGCGAGCTGACCACAGGCCCGGGAATGTGCTAACCACATGAGTTTTGTACACTGCTTTATGTGTAGTTCCCAACATGATGTTATCCACTGATTATTGAATATAAATGAATAAGTGGCAGCAGACTATAGCCCATCTTCTGAATCTATTCAATTCTCATCAAGGCCTACAACATGGCTCCTCTTTTGTCAGAAAACGTTGAGTCCCTACTAAATATATAATGCAGCATATATTTGTAGTCATTATTTGGCTTAAAGAGACAAAATACACTGTAAAGTTTAATCAAAAATAATATTTGATGGAAGTATTCTTTCACTAAACCTGAGATCAAGCAATTCAATTTTTTTTTTTTTGCGAAACTGTGATTGAATTCACGCCCTTGCACTTGCCAGACAAGCACTTATTCCACTGAGCTATCTCCCGAGCCCTTCAAAATATTTTTTTAATATTATTTCTGAATTATTATTTTAAATTACCATTTTCTTACACTGTAAAAGTGAGATTTGCTACCCAGTAGTGGATTCTACTTGAATTTCTATAGCATACTTATCATTATAATGTCCATAATAAGCATGAATATAAATAATAAGCATGAATTTTCAATTTTTTCTAAAATAGCAAAGCAGCTAGGCATGATGGCGCACACCTGTAACCCCAGCACTGGGAGCCTGAAGAAGGGTCACTAAATTCTAGGCCAGCCTGAATTACAAAGTGAGTTCAAGACCAGCCTGGACTGTATAATAAAACCCTGCCTTAGGGTTAGGGTTAGGGTTAGGAAAAAAAAAAAAAACATGCCTCAAAAAGACAAAATAATAATAATAATAATATAGCAAAACAGCTCATTATAAATAGTTGTATGTTTAGTAAAATATGAAATTGAATATAAAAACTAAAGTGAGAAAATATTCTTACTAAGTCATTTTACAAGTGATATTAGCTAAATATTAAAATTTAGGGGGCTGATCAGATACCTCAGTGGATTAAGGCACCTGCTTAAGCAGATGCAGGGGCCAGGGTTCGATCCTCAGCATTCCATGCCAGCCCTGCCCCTGGGGCGTGCTGAGACAGCAATTGAGACTGCGTGTGGTGGTGCACACCTGTAATCCCAGCACTTGGGAGACTGAACACAGGTGGATCGCTGTGAGTCTGATCTATGTAGTGAGATCCTGTAGACACTACCCTAAATTTATTTAAAAAAAGAATAGCAAGATTTTCAGAGAGATTTAGTCTTATATTTTTAACTATCTTTTACATAGATTGTCTATCTATAATCTACATATTTTCTGTGATATCCTTTATTTATTAGGTACAGGGTCTCATTGTACAGCTTGGACTTGTAGTGATCCTCCTCTCTTAGCCTCCCCAGTGCTGGGATTACAGGCGTGCGCTGCCATGCCTCATTTCGGTGGCCTGCACAGTGCACCTGGGGCTTGGGGGCTGACATGGCATGAGGTACCAGGGATTGAATCTGGGCCCTTGCACTTGCCGGGCAGGCACTTAAACCACTGAGCGATCTCCCCAGTCCTTTCTGTGATAGTTTTAAGAGCCATTAAAAATGCACAGATATTACAGAAAATCCAAGAATAACGCTCCAGGTCAGGTCATACAAAACAAGCAGCTATGGAGCATATATTTGTTTCATTATAGTAAGAGAAAAAACATATGAAAAATAAAACTCTGATCTTGGCCATAGAAGGGCCTAATGCACTTGCTACAACAGGAAATAGATAATGTACACAATTTCACAGAAGTTTTTCTGTGTCATCAAAAAGGGTCACTCTAAACTAAGGAAGATTTGGGCTGCAGGTATAGCTCAGCAACATAAGCGCCTGTCTGGCAAGCACAAGGTCCTGAGTTCAATCCCTGGTACCACAAAAGAATAAATAAATAAATAAATAAATAAATTAAAATAAACTAAGAAAGACTTGTTTTGGGAACAACTTGAGTGTGAGTCTTTGAGGATAAAGGGGGGTTAAAATTATTTTTTGAGAGAAGTGTTGTATTTGGGACAAATAAAGTCACTTGGGGGGATTTAATAATAAAAGTGATTTTTCTCTGATTTACCTCACAAGGACAGGTCTAATTGAACTAAAAAGAAGTTGAAGAGATCTAATGCATACCCATAAGAAAGTCACTCCATGAAAGTGCCAACAGAAGTGTCCTTTTACCTTGAGAAATTTGATAGGAGTTTATTTTCTTAAAAGTAACTCTTGAGCCAGCAAGATAGCTCAGTGGACTAAGCGTGTGCTTAGGCAAATGCAGGGACCAGGGTTCCATCCCAGATACGGCATGCCATGCTGGCCCCACCCCTGGGCATGCTGAGCCAGCCAGCCAGACTCCGTGTGGTGCACACACCTGTAATCAGCACCAGGGAAGCTGAGACAGGAGGTTCACTATGAGTCCGAGCTGTACAGTGAGACCCTATACCAGATACATTAAAAAAATAAATAAATAAATCTATGTTGCCTTCCTGGCAAACACAAGTTCTGAGTTTGATCTCTGATACTGAAAAAAAAAAAAAAGAGAAAAAATAAACCTATGTTGTAAATCTGGCACTGAAAAATCACATACTTAGAGTTATGTATAAAATATAATGAATTAATGAAAGGATAGAGGCAGTGTTGGTAGTTTAGTTATGAAAGAAAAGCTAGGGCAATGTTTTGTCTTAGTTGTGTGTGGTAGAGGTTGAAATGTGAAATATATTCTTTGTAGGTCTAAATAAAGTGAATAGCTGGCTTAAAAATAATATAGAAAGAAAATAAACAAGGATTGATAAGATAGCTCAGTGGACTATGCACCTACTTAGGCAAGTGCAGACCCCAGGGTTCCATCCCTGGTACCACATGTTCCAGCCCCACCCCCAGGTGCTCTGGGATGGCCACCAGACTGGGCATAGTGGCAGACATCTGTAATCCCAGCACTGGGGAGGCTTAAAACAGGAGTTCGCTACCAGTCCGAGCTGCATACTGAGACCCTGCACCAAATACATTTAAAAAAAGAAGGGAAGTAAACAGATCTTAAAGATACAATCAGCAGATTTAGAAATTAATTTGGGTTTTATAGGGGTAGAGGAATGGAAAAGAAAGTAACAGTTAAAAATGTTATTCACTTTTAAAGAGATTTCCATTTCAGAAATGAAATGTGAAGCTACATCTGATATGGATGATGTATCTGGCTTTAATATGATTTTCTTTAATAACTTAAGTGTCCTATCCTATTAGAGGCATTTCCTAAGGAAAATTCTAGGATAGCTTTTCTCTAACATGGTAAAATCCTAGTCACTGAAAGTCCCTGAGGCTGTCAGGTTGATGAGTTCCCTAAAGTAAGCGACCTACAGGAAATGTTTCCGTAAGTGCTCTTCACGTGTGTATAATCGGGAATTTTCTCTGTTTGAGTAGATATGATCATCTTTCTAATATGCTGACCAAGATATTAGATGAGCGTCCTGAAAATGCTGTTGACATCATTGAAAATATCAGCCAAAATGTGAAAATGGCACATTTTAGTAAAAAGTTAGATACACTCCAAAATGAGAATGAGATGCTCCCAACATATGAAATAGCTGAAAGGCAAAAGGCTCTTTTTCTCCTGGGACATTTGGAGGGAGCTGACCAAGAACTGGAAGATGAAATAGTAAGTCATTACTCTAAATATTAATGGTTAAATTCTGGAGTAGTTCTGGGAGCTGACTGGTGTGTGGCTTTAAGTTTATAGCAAGTGGTTTTTATGGCTCTCTAAATACTATTTTTATCTTTTTTTTTTTTTTTTTTTTCTTTTTGGCGTAACTGCGGATTGAACTCAGGCCCTTGTGCTTGCCAGGAAAGCGCTTATTCTACTGAGCTGTCTCCCGGGATTACAACCCTGTACCACAAGATTACAGGCCTTAGTTTTTGTTAGAGGTTTGTGTGATAAATTTCTTAACAGGATAGATGGTTTCTGTGTTTATTGTATTCTCCGAGTTGTCTGGTATAGATCTGGGTATATAGATGCTCCTTATTAGATATTTGTTGAACAGTGAGTGCCTGATGCAGTGAGTTGCTGTCACCTACTGACACTGAAGCTATGTGGTCATAGTGCAGTGCATTTTCCATGTGTCTGTGGTGAAGCTGATGTAAGCAGACCTACTGCACTACAGTGAGGTGGAAGCTGCATGTCACGCTTGTGTCCAGATGTCCCCAGAAGCCCCATGCAGCCACAGGGGGGCTTTTCAGAGCAGGGTCTAGAGTGTGTGGTGTCAGGAGGAAGGGTGTTCGTTTGTTTGTTGTTTGGTGGAACTGGGGATTGAACTCAGGCACTTGAGCTTGCCAGGGAGGCGCTTATTCCACTGAGCCATCCCCCTGGCCCCAGGAGGAAGGGCGTGTGGTTACAAACATCAGTCCACTGATTGGTCTGGGATAGTTTTGGCTAAAGCATTTCTGTGTATGAATAAAATGCTAACCATAGGCTTTGTTTTCTCAGGCAGAAAACTCTCTTCCAAATGTAATGGAGTCTGCTTTTTATTTTGAACAAGCTGGAGTTGGTTTGGGCACAGAAGAGACTTACCGCATATTTCTTGCCCTCAAACAACTCACTGATACCCACCCGGTCCAAAAATGCCGTTTCTGGGGCAAGATCTTGGGCCTGGAAAAGAATTATGTTATAGCTGAGGTAGAAATTCGTGAGGGAGAAGAGGACGAGGAAGTGGAAGAGGAGGATGTAGCTGAAGCTGAAGAGAGGGACAACGGTGAAAGTGATGCTGACAGAGATGAGTTACCCAGGCCCTTCTATAAGCCCCCACAGGCGGTTCCCAAAGAAGAAACTAGGACAGGTACCAACAAATATGTCTACTTTGTTTGCAATGAACCAGGAAGACCATGGGTGAAGTTACCATCAGTCACACCTGCACAAATTGTTACTGCAAGAAAAATCAAGAAGTTTTTTACTGGCCGATTGGATGCTCCCATCATAAGCTACCCACCTTTTCCAGGAAATGAGAGCAATTACTTACGAGCACAAATTGCCCGAATTTCAGCAGGGACCCATGTCAGTCCTCTAGGGTTCTATCAGTTTGGTGAAGAGGAAGGAGAGGAAGAGGAAGATGTAGAAAGTGGACGAGACAGCTTTGAAGAAAACCCTGATTTTGAAGGCATTCAAGTACTTGATCTGGTGGAATCTCTATCCAATTGGGTTCATCACGTACAGCACATTCTCCCTCAGGTAGGGGAATACTGTTCGGTCCTGCACAGGCTTAGATTTGTGTGTGTTCTGAAATTACTCTGCTTTTATATATTAAATAGAAATGGATGCATTATTTTGGAAAGAGTTCTTTTATTCTATCTTGATAATACATGGACAATTTATGTCAAGAATAAAAGATTTTTTTTAAGTAAATAGTGCTACATAGCAGTTATAAGACTATTGTATCTGGTGCTAATAGGACCGTATACATATTACATGTTATATATGATTGTATTAAATTATGACTATACTATATATTAGACATGCATATACTATATTTTAAACTGATTATATACACATATTCCCAAGTTAATCCCCAGAAGCACCTTATGAAATGTGTGTTATTATTTTTATCTTATAGATTAGGAAACTGAGGCAGGGAATTTAGGAACCATTAAGAACAGGACAAGGAGAAGACAGGTGATATGTAACACAGATATGAGGTTGTTTAGAATAGAGCCAGAGTCCACCCTTCTAACCCTCCGTGGTATGCTCTCACTTACAAATAGAAAATTCTTCAGTATCCATTGATCTAGAGAGGAGATACTCTGAGACACATCTAGAGTTGAGAAATTTAACCCCCAACCATATCACCACATTTAGAAATTATTTAAAATTTTAAAAAATTATATTTACTTTATATAATTTATTGCAACCAGCATAATACAATTTTTTCACTAAGATTCTGTTAGTTTTAAGATACATGTGAAACTTCAAGAAGTTAGTGAATTCTTGAAAATAATAGTACACTTTTTTGTTGTTGTTGAAACTACTTCAAGGAAATAGTGCTTAGTAAATGCATGAGGCATGCATGAATGGAAACGAATTTCTCATACATTGAAACCACATCCTGATAATTGCTTCAACCCAAATGAATGCTGAAACTTTAAAGTCTACACTAGACTATTAAATCTTGAAACATTCCTTTCTAGGGTCGCTGTACTTGGTTCAACCCCATACCAAAACATGAGGAGGAAGAAGAGGAAAATGAAGAAAAAGAAGAAAAAGGAGAAGAACCTGACTATCTGGAACAGGAAATAGGGCCTCCTCTTTTGACCCCAATTTCTGAAGATTTAGGTAACTTCACATAATGATTAACAAAGTAACCCAGAAAATATATACGATGTGCACTGTGTGGTAAACATCTAAGAACTGGGAACCCCTAAAAGGTTAGGTAGGTGCCAAGGGCTGAACCCCTCTTCCTTCATGTTCTGAACAGTAATCAGAGCAGTGGTACAGGAGGAAACATGAGCTGTCACTCTTAGGGAAATGGTGGTCCTTGCACAGCATTTTGTCTCATACTCTGCAGACTATAAAATATGGCATAGTTTGTGCCAGGGAGATAGTTCAGTGGAATAAGCTCCTACTTAGGCAAGCACAGGGACCAGGGCTCAATCACTGATACGGCATGCTGTGCCAGCCAGAGCCAACCACTGAGTCTGGGAGTGGTGGCATGCACCTGTAATCCCAATGCTGGGGAGGCTGGAAACAGGATCACTACGAGTCCCAGCTGCATAGTGAGACCATGTACCAAACATATTACATATACATATAAAATCATAGCCATAGTAAAGCACTTACGTAGTTGTTTAGCTTAATAGTAATCTGACCTTTCTTTGGTGACACAAAATAGTATGTCTTCTTGCACATAACCCTTCTCCCCTAGTAAAACCTCTGTAGCTAAAATGTACCTGTGTGAATACACATCTATATGGCAAATTATGTTGTTTCAAAGCGTTCAAAAATACTCTTGATTTTGTGTTTTAACTTCTTTTTATATCAAACATATGGGGTTTTTTTGTACTTATGAAAATAATTTCAGCTACAGACTCTTGCCTATTTGGAGCTGAGATTTTAATTTCTTCTTGTGCTCTAGAGATTCTGAATACACCCGCTTGGACAACACGACTATCCTCAAGTGTCATTCCACAATATGCTATTGCTGTCCTTCGATCTAACCTTTGGCCTGGAGCATATGCGTTTTCCACTGGCAAGTAAGTGACTAAACTCTGGAAATTATTTAGCACTGTGTTAAGCTACTATTGTTACTCATCTTTGCCACACTGTATGTGTGGGGCAAAGATCAATTATACAGTAAGTCATTGAACAATAGAGTATTTCAGGCTTAGATTGATGGAGATGATTCTAAGTAGTGGTTAGTTTAAGACCCAGATCACTTTTGTTGAACATTTTGATAAATAACAATGAAAAATGCTATATAAGCATTTCAAATGCTTTTATTTTTGAGGGATTTAGAATCAACATACCCAAAACCCTGTTATGGTTCACCTAGGCCAGCTCTTTTGTCTTGTGCTTCCATTCTTTCCTAAGTCTGTCTTCAGCAGTACAATGGTGCTGGAGAGAGCCAAGCTGTCAGGAGTCGAGTAGCCATTAGGATAACAAGCCAAAAACACAGCACTGAACCTTCAGTCACACACTGTGATAGCACAAACAAGATAGTTCTTTGACTTCAAGCCTCATTTCTTACCATGAATGGTTATGGTTGTCACAGATTTGGGGTCTTGGCATCTCTTCACTGAGAAGGGAGTCTCTAAACAAAGGCACCTGTGGTGTACGGGCGGAGAGGAGATGGGTGTTCAGGCCTCACAGACCTAGGAATGAAGGCATCTGACCCAGGAGTACAGCAAACAAGACCCACCAGAGGCCAGAGGCCTTGGGCACAGCTCTCCTTGGCAACGCACTCATTGAACACGGTTTGCTGTGAGAAGTGCAATTTTCCCAGTTGAGGAGGGAGTAGTTTTCCAGGGTGAGGATTCCCAGTAAAGCCTTTGCAATTGCCCAAGGTAACTTTTTTTTAACCTCATTTGATTCCTCACTCAGCCAAGTCTGCTGGGCTAATGGCCTTTGAACACACGTGTAACAAGGTCTCACTACCATGACTTGAGCTACAGATGGCAAATGCATGATTGTCCATCCCACAGGCAGCTTTTCATTAATTTTATGAGCAAAGAGACTGAGGTGATTATATTTGTTCGTATGATGAGTAGTACAAACTGCCAGCTAGGACAATCACAGATATGCCAGCACTGGCTCAATTCAGCAGAAACCTGTTTAAATCCTTGTATGTTTACTTTCTAGGAAGCTAGCAACATTCTCTCCAACCCTGAATTGTATAAGGCCCTTTCTTGTGTTCTAGGTTGAGAGTGTGTTTTGACAAGGTCTGGGCCCATGGTTTTCTAAACTTAAGCAGTTTCGATCACAATGATTCCCTATAGTAGAATAGTTACTAGGGGATAATTTACCTCTAATGTTGTATTTTAAATGTTTTTTTTAATCAGATCATGATATAATAACAGTACTGTGTTTCTACATAGATCAGTTTTTTTCACTGAATGTGACTTTTTTGAACTTACAGAAAATTTGAAAATTTCTATATAGGCTGGGGATATAAGTATAGTGTGGATAATTACGCACCCCCAGTTCCACCACCAGTTTATCAAGAATACTCCAGTGGGCCAGAAATTACAGAAATGGATGACCCAAGTGTGGAGGAGGAGCAGGCTTTCAGAGCTGCACAGGAAGCAACTGAACATGCAGCTCAGGACAATGAAGAATCCGAGGAAGATGAAGATGACAACTCAGAATATCATTAGCCTGATCTGTACCGCTGCAGAATTAACACATACAAAGCTCTTCTATGAGACTAATTTTATATTGGACAGGAATTACTCATGCTGCATGATTCCTTGAAAATACCAAACCTGACATTTCGTATGTACAACTATTATTATGAGTTGAAAGAACTTTTTTTTTTTTTTTTGGTGGAACCAGGGATTGAACTCAGGCCCTTGTGCTAGCCAAGCAAGTGCTTATTCTACTGAGCCATCTCCCCGGGCCCCTAGAATCATTCTCAATAGATCATTATGTTCTGATAACCATGGCTAAAGGGAAACATACGTTTGCTGTTTCAAAAAGTCTCACTTAGGGTCAGCCAAATAGCTCAGTGGATTAAAGCACCTGCAAGCAGGCGCAGGCACCAGGGGTTCAATCCCTGGACCTGCAATGTCAGCCCCGCCCCTGGGGCACGCTGAGACAGCAATTGAGACTGGGCGTGGTGGCACAAACCTGTAATCCCAGCTCTTGGGAGGCTATAAACAGGTGGATTATTGAGTCAATCTAGTAGTAAGATCCTGTACATCCTGTAGACCCTTTCCTAAAAATACAAAAAATAAAGTCTCACTCAACTGCAATACTTTCTATCATTGTAACACTGAAAGCAACTGCCCACAAACTTCATGAAAACTTCTTTAATTTGGAAGTGTGAAGGGGCACTGAGGTAAATCCTGCTAACCAGTGAACTAAAACGTCGACTTTCATCCTTTGTGAGAACTGGCTGAAAGCAGGATTCGCCCATGACAGGCTGTGGTCAGGCTGATGCTGTGTGGATACTGCAGATGTGCACAGGCCCACTCTGCTTCTGTGGGGAGTTCTCCTAACGCCATGATTTCCTCAGAGTCTGTAGAACACTTAAGACATTTAACCCAGTTACTCCTAACTTCTGTAATCAGACTTCTGTCATCTTACAGAAAATGATTTAAATTGATTGGGGATGAGGGATGATTTTCAGATAAAAGATGGGGTGTCCACACACTTCAGACATTTTCTCCATTTTTGTTTGATAAAGAATATTTTAAAGTTTAAACATACCAGGGATCCAGAGATTGATTATAAAGTAGGCACTGCTCCTGAAATCACAGCTTTTACTGAGGCGAGTATAAAAAGGTAGAAAATCAAAATAGATGGCAATTTAGCAAGCATTGTAAAGCAACTCTGCACGTTTTGAACAGTGCTTCCCAGTCTGTAGTAAAGAACTTTTAAAAGGAATTGCAAGCCAATGTCGTTATTTTTGTAAAATTAAGAAAATTACAGCAAACTTTCAATTTCTGCACTTACCTTGTTACACACTGAAAGTCTATAGAATCCTGGTCTACACTTGAACACCATGCCAAGTCCTCAGATGGCGACTTACCCCAGATTTGAGTAGGGCAAAAAAACATTTCTGAGAGCCACACACAGAATGCTACAGGGAGGCTCTTGGGAGCAAGACTACATGTACTCTGACAAAGGACTTCAGGCTGAGGTAACTTCCAAGAGATGACAATGGTTAGGGAAAGGGGAAGTAAAAATTATATACATGTAGCAATTCCCTACATTGAACATAATCAGTATGTACTGCAAACATGTACCAGTAAAAATAAAAATTTAACAGAAAGGAGTGGTGAGGGATCTCACTGGAGGTGAGCACCACCCAGATTGTATAAGAAAGCTGGATTTGACCCATGAGTAATAAGAGGATTAACCTAGAAAGCTGACAAACACTTGTTTTAGAACTTTTGAGCTTCAGTAGGAAGGGCAAATAGAATAGACATTTAAGACAGACTAGTTACGTTATCACATTACCTAGGCAAGAGAACATGGTGGCACGAAAAAGAACTGCAAGATTTAGTCAAAAATATTACTTCTGAAGGACAGAATATTAGAAAAGCCAGCTCCAGAATTCCCTGTCATCTGGCAAGACTATTTTATTTTTGTAGGGGAAATTTCAGTCTTTGTTGAAATACCTAAAATTCACAAATCTTAATTCAAGCAGATTCTTGTTCATTTTTCATGGTGTAGTAGAAACTCGCTCTCATGTTAATTTTTTTTTAATAACCATTTCCTCCCTTCCTTTCCTCTGAAGATCATGTCTCATCAGCCTCATGTGACTCATGCCCTCCCTGGAATATGAATTTTGAGCACTTAACAGGATTGCTCTGGCTATACATTATACCATATCCTAGCCTGCAGTTCAGATGGTTCCAGCCCAGCTCTCCACTTACTCATGTGTCCTGTAAGCTTCTGAAAATCTTTGATTTCCTTCTACCTATGTTTGTCAAGAACAGGAATTTAGGGGCCAGGGAGATGGCTCAGTGGAATAAGTGCTTCCCTGGCAAGCACAAGGGCCTGAGTTCAATCTCCAGTTCCGCAAAAATAATAATAATAATAATAATAATAATAATAATAATAATTCATGCTTAAAATGATCCAAGTTATATTCCATCTGAATCCAGGACTTTCTTTCCTACAAAAGATACATAAAATACAAATTTTAAAATTTAGGGTTGAGCATTTGGCTCCATGGCGGGGCTCTTGCCATGCATGCACAAAGCCCTGGGTTCAATTCCTAGTACCACACAAAAAACACAGCAGCTGGGGTTTGATCCCTCCCCAGTATGCCATTCTGCGCCCCCCCCCCCCCCCCCCGCTGAGATGATGATTGAGACTGGGTGTGGTGGCAAGTGCCTATAATCCCAGCTCTTGGGAGGCTAAACACAGGCGGATCCCTACAAGTCCGACCTACATAGTGAGACCCTGTAGACCCTTACTAAAAAATACAAAAAAAAGCAAAAAAAATTACAACAAAAGATAAAACTTATACATATAGTCAATATAACTATTTAGCAAAAGCAAATCCTTGTTTAAAGAATTAAGCCTATTACATATTAAGGCTATTTCTACACCGTGAAAAGGTAGCTTCATTGTGTATGTTCTCTAAGAGAAGACAGCTAAAATATAGTGTTAAGAGCTTGGAAGTGAAATAGCCGGGGTTCACCCCCATGTTGTGATCATTTTCTTGGACAAATTGTTAATCTGTGGGAACTCCAGTTCCTTTATGGGGCTAATTTTTTTCCCCCACACTGATCAGGGTTTTATTTAAAAATCAGCAAACAATACTGTAGAAACATTGATATGTAAAATTCTAAAACTCTGCATCTTATTCCAATATAGTAGTTGTCTGAAGAAAGAATTTTTAAAGATAGGTAAAATACTAAGAGTACCTATACAAGTCAAGACCCAGTATATATTAATTTATACACACAATAGACAATTGGTTTCTGAAACATGGGCAAGAAAAAAAATCCTCAGTGCAAACAAGATATTTATTGAAACAATTAGTAGACAATAAAGCGCTAAAGTTTTGGCTTTTTTTTTTTTTCCTAAAGGTATAATTTCATGTAGGCAAACACTGAACACTTAAAAAGAATTTGCAGATTCTTAAGTTGTATTAAAAGAGTTCCACACCAGAGTCTGGACAACTCAGGGCAATGCCATGATCACCAAAAACTTAATTCTTCAAGGGATCTTCTCTGCTGTAAAGACTTGAGAAGCTTGTCTTCTGGCCTTGAAAAGGAATTTTAAACACCATTAATTGTAAGTTATAAATAAACTGATTACACTATTTATCATCATTCTAACAAAATATGGTGTTTTTTGGCTTTTTCAAAATAATGGCAATTCCTAAAGGAAAACTAAAACAACAAACTTTTAAAGTTAAGAACAAACATTTTTTAAAATGAAGGCACAAAGACATTAAATCCTAAAGACCATACATTTTCAAGTGAAACAAATTTATCATTTTTAAAAGTAAAAATGCTGGGGGCTGGTGAGATGACTCAGTAGTCTAAAGCACCTACTTAGAACAAGCTTAGCAAAGCACAGGGACCACAGTTCAATCCCCCAGCACCACATGCCAGCTAGCCCCGCCCCCTGGTGGGCTGAGCCGGCCACACACACACACACACACACACACACACTCTTAAATAAATAAATAAATAAATAAATAAATAAAGTAAAAATGTTGGCCCACAAAGTTACATACAGACAGGGCTGGAGGGGAAAAGCAGAGAAGCGCCCACGGTGAGTTAACGATTTGAGGACAGAGCCTTTAGGAAAGCGTCTCTCTCTACAGCCTTTAAACATGTCACCTCAAAAAATAATTCAGTGTTAGTGCTACTTTACACCTTGAGTTGTAAGTCGAAGCATACTCATCCAAGTTAAACTGGACAGATTAGGTTAAATCAAGTTCAGAGTACAGAGACAACATGTGGAAAACTAAGAATGCAGTATGGTAAATTATCGTGCCTCTAAATGTAAAAAAAGAAAAGGAATGTGGTTGCTACAGCCACTATTATCTAACTGAACTGCACACATGCAAGTACGCAAATACTCCTAACACCTACAACAGGGTCAGTAGTTCCTAACGTATATACATTTGTGGCAGAATGTCTTACAATAAGACAACTGCAAAGCTAAAATCTTTTTCTTGATAACCAACCATTCTTTGAATAAATCACATGATTACTACTAAAATACCAGAACTAGCAAAGGTCTAAATATGAAAAATACATAAAATTCAATTATACAATTTGTATTGTGCTATACTATAAAAAACATGTTTGTGTTGAAATTCTACAATTAAAAAATTATCATTAAAGATACAGTACTTTAAAAGTAAGCTATAAAAATAAACAAAAATAAAATCATTTTGTCCTTTTTAAAGCTTCAGGTTTCCATCTGATCATCTGTAGATCAATCAGTACAAGAGAACATACAAAGTACTAGCACAGCCAAGGATAACGCTCAGTGGCTCCAGCACCTGCCTGGCAAGTGTCCGGGCCCGAGTTCCATTCCTAGTGCCACACACACATACACAGTACTGGCAAAAAGAACAGGGTAACTACAAGACATAGATTTAAAAAAAAAAAAAAATGACAAAAGATTGAAGATATTATGCAAAAACAGATTATGTTAGAATTAGTAAGATTAAACTTTTCCATTTTTCAAATATAGTATCGATTCTGTAATGGATGTTAAGTGTTCATATAAAAACAAACAAAAAACCGAGACTCTGTGCCTGGGATGGAGCAGCTCTGGGCAGAGCTGAGTGGACAGCGGCTGAAGGGGAGCCCTGACACTGCTCCTCAGTGGCTGTGTGACCTCACGAGCTGAACATCACCTGTGGGCTTGGGCATCCACACCTGTGAGGTGGGAGGGGCAGCACTGCCCACCCACAAGGTTGCCCGTGGGCTGGCTATATTAGCTGACATGCCCTCACATGTGAAGTGAACCACAGAATAAACAGTGTGCAAGTGTAATTTCTATTTTCTTACGATCACATTACGTCTGCATTACTAGTTTTCAGCCCAGCAGCAATACACATTGTCAGTCAAGTCGTGATTCTTATGTCAAGGGCACAGCAATGGCCTATGATTCATAAACAGAACAGTATCAAAGGCACAAGGGAGGAAGCACACTACCAGCAGTCTACGTGCACCAAGGACTGGCTCTAGACTAAAGGGTCATACTGATGCTAAAGTTATCTGGACTTTGTTCAACAAGGATCCTGGTACTTTAAAATAACTAAAATGAGCCTCCAACCTGACCTGGCCAAATCAGTAAGGAGGTTAAAAAGGGGTGGGGATATCTGGTATCTAAGTCATTGTAAGAAATCTTTCAAAACACAGTATCAAGTTGAAGAACCTGTAAAACCCTTTATAGACCAACTTACGTGGCTGAAAATATTATACTAGCATTCTCTCATTTCAAACAAGTTCAGTCCTTTCCCCCATGATCCTGCTGTTTTCCATGTTCCTCTCTTGTACTGTCTCTTTTGTGTTTGGGAGAAGTAAAACAATTAAAGTATCCAACAGGAGGATGCTGTGGTTTGATCCCCCAGATTGTCAAGCCTTACCAGACCTGACCTGAAGGCATCCGGAGCCAGCCAAAACAAAACTTCTGAAGTATCCAACAAGGCATTTTTATCTCTGAGATTCTGAGGCCTGTGCATTGCCTAGAGCTGATACACAAGCACACAGTTTCAGTTTGTAACAACTGGAGATTTTCTAATTCCTAGAAATTTTTCTGTAATATGCCACTTATCACTTAACCGTCATGCATAAACAAGTGAAGTTAATTTCTAGAACTTCTGTCTAGCCAATAAGTCTAAGTGCATAAAAGAAAGCCTCACGAATCATAATCACATTTTAATAAATAGTAATTCAAGAACAGTAGGAGTTAGGTCTTTTCTTACCATACATTTTGTCAGTATTTACACTAAAAAGTTACATAATATAAAACTTTTATGGAGCACAATGAAGCAACTGAAAGCCATTTAGGAACCATTTTAAATGTAATGATGTCCATTACAGAAGTTCAGTTCAATCCCCGGTTCCATCCCCCCCCCCCCAAAAAAAAAAAGAAAAAGAAAAAAGAAAGAAAGAAATTCAGTCATATAAAAATAAATGTATTTTTCAACTTAATGAACTAGAGACATAAAGGAGTAACAATGATTTTAAGTAAAAATTTTAAACTTTAGCTTGAAAAAAAACAAAAACCTAACTTGGTATAGGGGCACATGTCTATAATCTTAGCACTCAGAAGGTTGAGGCACAAGAATTGCAAATTTGAGATCAGAATAGTAAATTTAAGACCAACCTGGACTACAAAAGTGAGACTGTCTCAAAAAGCAAACAAACCAAAAAAAATTCAAAGTTTTAAGTTTCACCCATTAAAATTTGTATTACTCTACTTACCACTTTCTCCTCTGGAGAAAGAGCACCCTCTACTGCCACTATCTGGTATTGCTTATGTTTCAAATTTCCCACAAATTTCCTAAGTTGCTTGAGACTAGTATCCTCAAAGTCTTGTTTTAATAGTTTCTGCATTTCTCGAGAAGGACATCCAGGATCAAATATTAACAAACATAATGTTCTGTTTTTTCTCTCTTCAATTCCAACAATGGTTCGACTATGACCTATCAAAATATGAAATAAGACCTATCTGTAAACCCTTTTCCCCAGACACAGACACATATGTATACATGCATTCTTACTCTCTGTATATGTGCATCTAAAATATAAATATGGGCAGTTTTTGACATTTATGTACATGAGATCTGTGCTAAAACACTAGTGATGTTTTACTTCCTACCCTTCAGTTTTACTTCGATGTTTGAAAGTTTTATTACTCCCAAACCCCCAAAATTTCTGCTGCTACTCTACCACATATTTTTATCAGTATCTTGATGTCTTTTCCGTCTCCACTCTCTTGTTCAAATTATCTTATATGAGACAACTTGAAATTTACCTATCCTAGAATAAAAATACTGATGGGTACAAAAGGTCAACAGATATTAAAATTATACACATTAGAGTATCACTGGGGAGGGATTAATCTCTCGGTTTTTTTCTTGAACAATTATTTCTCTTTATTCCTGTCAATGAAAATCACCTATTCAACAAAACTCAGCATGCAACGATATGCCAGCATGGTGACAGCAGAGACAAGCAGATCGACATGCCTCCTTGGTTGGAGCTTATATTCAAAGAATATAATACACTCCATCAACAAGGTGAGTGAGTGAAGGAAATGGCAGCGGTAGGGTGTGGGGCTAACGATATTAACCAAGGTGACGCAGGGCAAAGCGTAAAGGGACATCTGGATGAAGACCTCAAGAAGGTAATGGATGAATAATTAAGCAAGAGTGAAACAGACAAAGAAAATAACATGCGCAAAAGGCCCTGACATGCCAGGAACACTATCCAATACTATCCTCTGTTACCCAAGAAGGTAGGCTAATGTCTCAATACTCCCCCTCATCCCTGTCCCTGGGATTTTAACCTCCTATGTAGGAGTCATACGAACCTTGATGCTGGAGATAGACAGGAGGTTTGGATGTGCATACTACCTTCGCACTCCCTTCCTGCTCTGAATAATAGTTCAATATCCATTCAAATAAGCGAGGGTGTGTACCCGTAGGACCAGTTGCCTTGTGAAAATCAACAATACGGCACCTATGAAAAGTGGCGAAATCAATTAGGGTTTATTTTAAAAATATTTTCATTATTACAACTAATCAAAAACAAATAAAATTTTAATTCAGAAAAATTTTGTTTTATCATGGCTGGCTAGAGGCAGTGGCATGTGCAGGAAGCTCCAGAGACATGCAGGAAAACACAGGTGCTCAGAAATGGAATAAAGGCAACCAAAGCCCTTCCCCAGATGCAATCCAGTACTGGGGCAGGGAGAAAGGCAAGCTGGGCCATCCTCTGATCCCAGCATTGCTTATACTCAAGTCTGGCAAATATGTGCTCTTGGGAGAGGACCTAATGCCTCAAGGAAGGAGCTGGGTGCCCCAACATCCAGTGCCACCCATCACGGCTCCACTCACATGGGCAGAGGGAGAGCCAGATTCTGAGCAGGGTGCCCAAGAAACTAAAGGCCAGACACCTACTCAGGTACTGAGAACTGGCAGGGTCCTGATGAGGGACCTGTCATGTGACCCTGAGAGCTGTGGCTCAGTGAGTTGCACAGGCAGGCACTGGCTGCAATCACTGTGATGTGGGGACAGCACAGCACTTCCCCACCCTTCCCCTAAACATCAATGAGATCAAGATAAGTGGCCATGGGATACCCTGCCCACCACCGAGCCAACTGACCACACGGGAACCCTGTCACCTATAGGAAAAACCTTTGTGAGCTACAAGCCCTGGGCAGTACTGTGCTCAACAGGCAGACAGGGACCCTCTGTCCCTGGACACTGTGCACTGTGATCAGCAGATGTGTGTCGGTGGAGAACTAGAGAAGAGCAGCATGGCTAGAGGGAGGCAGTTGCGTGGCTCCCTAGCTCAACACCAGACCAGTACAGACAGAACAGACACCAGCAGCTGCAGGGCTGATTGGATGGAAGGGGACAAAATCCAGAAGGCCTCAGAAATGGTCAGAAGACTGAGTGCATATCCTGCCACACTGCCTCTTCCCTATTTCAAGCACCAAGCTGTTCGATCAGGACAGAGGCAAAAACCTCTAGTGAGTATGACACCACGCAGAGCAGGGCCTACAAAGGAGGACACAGGCCCCATGGCTATCTAGACAGAAGGTAAAGCTTTTCTATCTGCAAGCTCAGGGGAAGAGCACACTGGCTGGTACTGGACAGAGAATTGAGAGGTCTCTTGCATTTTGCACGTGTGTTATGACTCTCTATTCTTTTTTTTTTTTTATGAGCAGAATATATTTATTGAGAGAAAGAAAGCTCCTGTCCCAAGAGAGGGGACAGGAGGGGGGGCCGAGCAGGTAGTTCCCCCCAATTCTTTCTCTTATTTCTTGTCATTTTCTCCTCTCATCTGGTATATGTGGAAAGTACCTGTACATACGAAATGAAGATAAGAATTGGAGCTTTGCTCTAGACAGTATCTTCCATGGACATGTTAGGCTAACCCTCACCAAAAATCATGCACAAAGCAGTGGTGATGAACCTTCAGCACGCATGCTACATCTGGCTGTTTGTCATCACTGAAAGCTCTAAAAGGTTCACCATCACTGGCATAGAGCATTCAAACAAGCTTCCTGAGGCTGGGGATGCAGCTCAGTGGCACAGTGCCTGTGCGGCAAGCACAAGGTCCTAAGTTCAAGTCCCTGTACAAAAAATTCTTTAAAAAAAGCTTTTCATCAGCATATTAATTGATTCTGATCTCATAGCTTCCTTTAACCTCAAATTCTAACTCTCTGCCTTGTTATCCCTTTTTCCACCCCAAATATCCTTTCAAACCCCCATTCTACCAGCTCTTCATTCATGTTTTAAAAATAATTATCAATAAGAGATAGGAGATAAAAAAGAGTAAAGACATGTTACGTACATGTGTGAACATCCCATGCAGATGTAATCATTATACACTGCAAACTTGTATTAATGAAAACAAAAAGTACTCTCTTCTCTCTTTCACTTGCTATTCTCATTTTTTTCCTTTACTTCTTTCTGAACTTTTTTCTTTTTCCTTCCCTCATCCCTCACATCCCAGCCTAATCTGTTTTCAGAGATACATCACAGTCTTTCTGGGTTATTGCAAAGGGTATGAAATAGTTAAAGCAAGTTTTAAATTACATGACTGATGTATGGTTGGGTCTGTGGATGCTGATGTAATTGGTAGACCTTAACAGTTTAAAAATTCCAGGAATTTGGCAAAAGGAACACTAAAAGTTGTTACAGAAAGACATGAAATAACTTATTGGTAAGCTTGTCAAAGTAAATTGATTTTTCCAACACAGTGCTTAAAGACCAGGAGAGCTTGAAGCAGTTTCTCAAGCCCCAAAGTAATTTCAACAGAGATCAATAATTCCAATAAAACTATCTTTCAAAATCAATGGAAATAAAAAACATTCCAAGAACACTTATGAAATTAATGACCATGAAATCAACACTGCACAAAGTATTAAAAGGAATCCTACACAGAGACAAATATTACAAGAGTCTTAAAACGGAATATTGCTAAAAGTGTAGTTCAACAGAAAGGAAACAATGAAGGAATCAACAGCAAGGGGAAAATAATGTGATGACAGGACTCAGTGAGTAACTCTCAATGCAAATGGTCTTAAGGACCCAATCAAGAGAGACTGACAGATGGGCTCAAAGAACAACCCAACTATGTGCTGCCCAGAGGAGATGCTTCATCCAATAAAGAAACACAAAAACTGAAAACAAAGGGCTGATATACCATGCAAGCACTGCCTGAAAGTGAATAGAAGGAAGCTGTACTACTTTCAAACAAAGTAGACATCATGCCAAAACTGAGCAAACGAGTCAAAGAAGAACATAAAAAGAACACAACAGGAGACAGTAATTGTTAATTATACATGTATCAAATGCCAGTTCACTCAATTCAAAAAAGTAAACATAACACAATCAGAGTAGAGAACTTCAATACCCCACTCTCATCTATAGTGTACAACAGACCACAATGTGTTTTTTTTTTTGTTTTTGTTTTTGTGGTACTGGGGATTGAACTCAGAACCTTTATTCTACTGAGCTATCTCCCCGGCCCCCAGACCACAATATCTTTCAGCAGCACACTGATTTTGCTCAAAACAGACCACAAAACATAAAGTATGCACACAATGCAAAACAGTAACTTCCTGCATACTACCAGATCATCATGTAATGAAACTAGACATCAAAGCAAAATAAATCTTAGAAACTAAACAAACACATGGAAGTTAAACAATACACTCTTGAACACTCAATAGCCACACAAGAAATTAGAAAAGTTTCTAGAACCCAGTGACAATGGCCGCACAACATATCCAAACCTATGGAACACAATGAAAGCAGTTCTAAGAGTGAAATTATACCTGTGAACGACCATGTTTAAGAAAAAAAAGGACATACAAAATAAATAATCTCATGATGCAGCCAAGGTCCTAGAAAAACAAGACCAATTCAAACCTAAAACCTGAAAGAACTTATAAAGAACAGAACTTAGAGAAATTGACAACAGAAGAAAAACATAAGGAATCAACTGGATTTGGTTCTTCAAAATCATAAAAAAGATTGACAGACTCTATGTTAAACTTACCAAGATTTGTATTAATGTACCTGGAGATGAAAAAAGGCAAAACCACAAGATGTCATTGAAATCTGGAGGATTATAAGAAACTGTTTTGAAAATATTCCAACAAATCAGAGAAACTAGAAGAAATAAATTTCTAGAAACATGAATTACCAATTCTGAAGGAGGAATACACAAATATCTTTACAAATACCTTGAACAGATCAATATTATGCAATGAAATAGAGGCAATAATAATAGTGATCAAAGCACGATAAGCCATTTCCCCAAGATCAGTAATTATATCATACTAATAAAACCTTTCAAATGAACCTCTCTCTCTCTCTCTCTCTCTCTCTCTCTCTCTCTCTCTCACACACACACACACACACACACACACACACACACACAGAGAACTAACTAAATTTATCTATCCACAGGGCCAGGGAGATAGCTCAGCAGGTGTAAGTGCCTGCCTGGCAAGTGCAAGGTCCTGAGTTTGATCCATGATACCCCAAAATAAATAAATAAACAAACAAAGTTATCTAGCCTCACTAACCTAGAAATCTGTTGATTGTGAGGGAAATATTTATTTAAATAACCACAATAAAGTTTTGATCTAAAGGTTGCAAATATTTTCTCACGTATTAAAAGTCCCTGAATATTAAATGAAAGCCAGGCTTGATTTTTAAGTCATCTACATATAATCTGAGCTACAGCGTTCACTCTGAAGTATCTAACACTGAGGGCCGGCCAAATAGCAGTTTGATTGTATGTTTAGATTCTACAGAGTGTAGTTTATACAAAACAAAAAGACACAGAAAGTAGCAAACATACATATTACTAATAGAAAAGCAATACAAAAGTATGGTACCAAGAAAGAAGGTGGAAGCATTAGGACTTTTAGAAGAAAATTTTTTTTCTTTTTTGCAGTACTGGAGATTGAAGTCAGGACCTTGCGCTTGCCAGGCAAGGGCTTATTCTACTGAACTGTCTCCCTGGCCCAAGAAGAATTTTGTGTTTGCTTAAGAATAACTTGAAAGAACTGGGCGTGGTGATGCACGCCTCTAATTCCAGCACCTGGGAAGCTGAGGAAGGAAGACTGCCATGAGCTCGAGACCAGCCTGAACCATGTAGTGACCCTGTCAAAAAAAAGAAAACAAAAAAACCTTAAAATATTTAAGTCACATAGTAAAAATGAAAAGGAAAGGCAATTATTGAGGGTTTTGTGTGTGTGCATCTTTCTGAGAGTGTTTTACTATGCAGGTCTGGCATTCAACTCACTCTGTAGCCTAGGATGGCCTCGAACTTGCTGTGCTCCTTCTGCCTCAGCCTCCTGAGTGCTGGGATTACAGGTGTGCATCACCATGACTGACCTACTGAGGAATTTTTTAAAAAGCTTTTCAGGAAGGGGAATAAAATCTGCAAAGAGTAATATTCATTTAATCATAATGTGAACTCTCATCTTAATTTAGCAGAAACTGACTTAATCATATTAGTTTGAGGATTGAGGGTGAGGAGGAAGAAGACAAAAGCAAGTGACAACATCTGAAAGTGATCGGCTAAGAAGAGGCTTGAAAGCACATCATTTAAAAACAGAAACAACAGTTGCCTCTGAAAAACAGGACTTGGGAAGAGAGCGTGCATAAGACAGGAAATCACTGCTAGAGCCCTTCAGGGGTACTTAAATTCATTTTTAACTACCTCTTTGATAAAAATAATTGGAAAATTTTGAGGTACATACTTGACCCCCAGGGAAGTCAGGAGGGTAAATACTTCACATGCTCCAATCCAGGCTTTTGTTCCCTGTAACCTGTTATTAAGTTGAGAGGCACCTTGAGGATCAAAACCTTCTTTCCATGCATCTTCAATCATAGACTGAATTTTTGGAATACAAGGAACTGACATACCTAAAATTATACAAGCAAACAAATTACATGAAAGTTACTAATGTACCAAACATTCAGTAGTTATGATATACTTTAGAGGAACCTACAATACAGCTTTTAAGATAGTTACTGCTGTCATCTTCTATTATATCATTTTATCTCCCTCCAACCAGAATTCAAATTCCATATTTAAGAAATTTCAAGTGCCTGCTTAGGCAAGTGCAGAGACTGGGGTTTGATCCCCAGGACCACATGCCATGCTGCCCCACACACGGGTGCACTGAGCCAGCGAAAGAGTCCCGACGTGGTGGTGTACACCTGTAATCCCAGAGGATCACTATGAGTCCAAGCTGTGTAATGAGACCCTGTACCAAATACATTAAAAAAAGAAAAACAAACTTCTAAGCCAGGCATGGTGGGGCATGCCTGTAATCTCAGCACTCAGGAGGTTAGGCCAGGATCACTGTGAGTTTGAAGCCAGCCTGGGCTACAAAGTGAGTTTGATGCTAGCCTAACCTCCATAGTGAGACTCTGTCTCAAAAGAAAAAAAAGAAATTTCTATTAGCTATAGCATTTCTATTAGCTATTAATTATGTATGGTATATATTAGTTTATCCCAAATCACATATATCATATCTGTATTTCACATACCTTTCAAGCAATCATCATAAGCCTCATTCTGCAATAATGATGAAAGTAGCATTTGGAAATTTCTGTAACCACAGCCCCAACCTTTGTCACCTAGAGAAGAATGAAAGTGATCTACTGCTGCAGAAAGCCACACACGCCTCACATCAGTGGCAGTACTCAGATAGTATATATGAAGTGCTTCAATAATTCCTGAAGGGAAACAGATTTAGAAGACAAGATTTGTTATCGCCGTTATATGGCTGTCATGTATTGTTTTATTTTGAAATTTTTATTTGTATATGTTTGCTGTACTTACTGATTAAATGCATAAGGAGGTAACGTGTAAGAAGGTAACATGTACATACAACAAATCTGAATTCCACACCCTTTTCCCCTTCCCTTCTCCCTCTCACCTTTCCATCTGCAAAAGATCCATCTCCCTGTTCCTTTCATCTTTTTCATTTTGTTCTTCATATTGTTTCATGTTAGGTTTTTTATACAAGAGAACTCATGGATAATGTTAAGTTTGTGTATCTGCTTTATTTCTCTTCACACTATAGAGATGGATCCATCTTCCTAGAAGTGACTTAAATTTATCCTTTATGAACGTATTATGTGTATGTATATAATATATATTTTCCATATGCATTAATCTACTGATAAACGTATAGGCCACTTCCAAGATTTGGCTACTATAAATTGTATTCTATGAATATGAGAATGCAGGTTATCACTGTAACGTACTTGTTCAATGGCCAGTAGATATACAAAAACATGTTCAACATCTTTCGCTATTAGAGAAAAGCAAATTAAAACACTAAGATTCCATCTCAACCCAGAAAAAATGGCCACTATCAAGAAATCAAGTAATAGGGGCCGGGGAGATAGCTCAGTGGAATAAGCGCTTCCCTGGCAAGCACAAGGGCCTGAGTTCAATCCCCAGTTCCGTAAAACAAAACAAAACAGAAAAAAAAAAAAAGAGAGAGAGAGAAAAAAAAAAAAAGAGAGATCAAGTAGTAACATGCCGGCAATGTTGCAGGACGAAGAGACCATTCCATGTTGCTATCATACATTTCTAATACCAACCTCACACAAGCTCCAAAACTAATCCCTACCAGTTCTCTCCTTTCCTTTACCCTCCTATTGCTTTCAACCTTAGTCATGGCCTTGCTTGTTATGACACTTAATTTCCTAAACACTGCCATATTATCCTCTATGATGAAATTGCCTGCATCTTTTATCTCTGCTTCTACAGTGCTGGGCATCTAAAGCTCAATTGTTGAATGAACGCTTTTGTCTCTCCATTTTATTATACGTACTGCTAGAGATCACTCAGTTCTAAATAATTTGCTACTAAACAAGACAAAAACTTACAATTACCTACAGAATTATGTTAATCTATGGCATATGATGCCTGCTGCAATGTATTTAATATTAATACAAAATAAAAGAAAATTATTTTTAAGTCAATCATTTACTATAAAAGGAGAAGTTCAGAGATTTCAAACTACCCAAACTATATAAGCTTGGCTTGTACATACAACATTAAAATTATGGTTCCAATGTTTACCACTTACCAGAAGTTTTTGTTTTCCCATCATCAATGCCAACAGCTAGGGACTCCATCAGGTCAGCTTTTCTCCTGTGAAACTCGGCCGGATGCATTCTTCCTCTGTTCACTTCTATTTCCATAGTCTGTAGCTGCTGCTGTTTGTATCCTCCAGACCCATCTAAGCCGTACTGTCGCTATTGAACATGAGAGCAAATGATTTACTCTTTAAGCCCCTGCAGGTCAATGACATGGAAACTAACAATTTTACTACTTAGGAAAGTGTGGAAATATTCTGGTTTACAGACTTTTACATATAAGTCAGACTACATCAAGCATGCACACACATAGTTTTACTTCAATAATTTCACCAGAGAGACCTCACAGTGGGTAGAGACAGCAGCACTGAGGAGATGCACACCAAGATCTACACATTCTTGGGATGGTGAGGAACAAAAACTCAAACATGGCATGAGAAGCCTACCAGATGAATTCCAGCATGAGGGGAATAAAGAAAGAGGCAAGGGCTACCCTTGATCTCAGAACTGCTCATAGCCAGGGTTCAGGGAAAATGAGAAGCTATCTTAAGGACCTACCTCATGTGGACAAGACCTACACCTCCATCAAGGGATAGATCCTACGCCCTTGAAAACCAGGACCTACACTATCAAGGGCTTGGATTTATGCCACTGTGCAACAGGACCTATGCTACTCTGGCAAAGAACTTAATCCGCAGCCAAGGGCCGGTCAAATAGCTCCGCGGATTAAAGTGCCTGAAAGCAAGCACAGGGGCCAGGGGTTCGATTCCCAGGCCTGCCTTGCTGGCCCAGTCCCCGAGTTGCCCTGAGACAGGGATTCAGACTGGGCATGGTGGCGCTCGCCCTGTAATCCCAGCTCTTGGGCAGCTGTAAACAGGCAGATCACTACCAGTCCAATCTAGTAGCGAGAACCTGAGCACCCTGTAGACCCTTCCCTACAAAAAAAAAAAGAAAAAGAAAAAAAGAAGGAGTAGGAGAGCTACAACCAAGCTGCTACAATTAGTGTCAGCCAAGCCTTCTCACAGGGTCTTGGAGCCATGGGCCTCCTCAGGTCAGGGGATCAAGGGAGGCAAAGGACAGTGAACACCAGGAAGGTGAGGACTATGTTCTGACAAAAGTCCGAGAGACAGAAGAAGGAAGGTGGTCCAGAACCAGGGGTGGTCCAGGGGCCCTGAACCACATCAGAGGAACCTGTGGACTGTGAGCTGCACCTAGCTGGGGAGATCACTCTATCACCCTCGCAACCCCAACTATGCAGACCTACTTAGGCTCTCAGATCACCTCAGTCAGCTGCATGGACAATCTGGGAAAAGTACAGAGCCTGTAAAGGCCTCCGGAGGCTGATGGTGCCCATAAAAAGAACCCACACTGGTCACCCAACAAGTTTGGGTGCAGAGTAGTTGTCGAGGGACACTGGAACCCAGGGCCCTTTCCTTGTGGGCAGGCAGAAGATGAAGCACTAAGGGGAGCCAGCTCCAGCGACAGTGGGCACTTCAACCTCCTAGCTACCACCACAGGAGCTAGCCCAGGCCTCCCTGGATGGGAACGCTGAGGATGGGCACGCTGTCCACTTCTGACTGTAGAAGTTAACAGTACTGAGAGAACTGTGCTTTTGAGTTTTTGTATATATGCTGGACTTTTTCCTTCACCTTTCATTTCTCCTTTCCACTGGTATATGTAAGGGACATGTTTGCATTTGTGAAATGGAGAGTATAAATTAATTTGTGCTTTACACAGTACCATTCACATGTGCATCAGGGTGACCTTCACTAAAAACTGTGTACGGTAGATTCAAACACAACTGTTTTATTAGCATGTTCATTGTTTTTGGCCTTCTTACAACATCCCCCAATCTCCAGTTATACTTCCTCTCCCCTACATTCATAAATAACTTCTCAAACCCCCTCGCCTACCACTGTCATTCAAGATATAAAAGAACATCACAACATTTCATCTCCTTTTCTGCTTTCATTTGCTGTTATGCTTTCTTTGTCCTTCTTTCTGAACTGTTTTTTCTTCCTAATCCCTTCACTCACATTCACACTGTACACCCCCAACTACTTGTCAGCAGTACTATTTCACCAGTTATTGAAAAAGATAGAACCCTGTAAAAATAAGACTTCAAGCATATGACTGGTACATGACTGGCTCTGTAGATGCTGATATAACTGGCTGCTGTTTCCTTGGGAAACAGTGACCAGGACTGATCCTTGTACACTGGGTAGACTGAATAGTTGCACAAACACCAAAACGTGAGCCAGGTCAGTTGACACTAGCTAAAGAGATCTCCACCGCAGCTGCAGAATTTTCTCTCCCTAATTTATCTGCAAACCTCAGTACCAAGACAAGTGAAACATGAGAAAACAATACAGCAAAATACCCTCAGAAGTTCAACTCCACAAAATCTGACCTCACAGGAACTAAAGTAGAGAAAGTTTCACTCAAAACCAAAGAACTGAAAAACTAAAAGCTTACGGCTGGTCAGATAGTTCAGCAGATTAAAGCACCTGCTTAGGCAGAGCCCAAAAGCCAGGGTTCAATCCCTGGTATGGTGTGCTGTGCCGTGCCCTGCAGTGCCGGCCCTGCCCTGAGGCATGCTGAGACAGGGATTGAGAGTGAGCATGGTGGTGCTTGCCTATAATCCCAGTGCTTGGGAGGCTGAAAACTGGAGAATCACTACAAGTCCAATCTATGTAGTGAGACCCTATACTACATATATTTAAAAAAAAAAAAAAAAAAGAGAGAGAAAACCTAAAATTTTTAAATGTTTGAAGCAAACTAAGAAGAAACAAGTGGAGTTGTAATCAGTGCTGCACACATCAAGCCCTCCAAGTGTGCAAACAACCTGTGACTGGTCAGACAGCGGCTTGACCACATTGGGCTAACAGGAGTATGCTTTCTGTTTTCTCAGGGCTGGTCACAGCAAAGAGCTGCAATGCAGGCAGCTGGATTTGAGTCCTGCATTCATCAAGGAAAAAGCGACATTTGATATCACTGACCACTGCACTGAAATGCAATCTGGTGTCATTCTTCAGGGAGCTCACAAGTTATGTATCTGGACACAGAATTCAATCTGTAAGTATTTTTCAGCTCTGCAGAGTCTTAAAATGCATGTGGATCGACTGGGGACATATGGGATATCTCTGTACCTTCCTCTCAATTTTGCCATCAACCTGAAAGTACTTTTAAAACTGAAATCTTTAATGGTGATTTTTAAAAACCAATGAAAAAAGCAAAACAAAGCAAAAACCAACATGGTACCAGCACAAAACAAATGTGTTGACCAAAAAGAATAGCAGAGAGGTACAGAAACAACTTTATGTGCCTTTAGCCACTTGAGTTTGGGAAAAAGGGCAAAAAAAAAAAATACTACTAGAAAAAGATAGGCTCTTTAACAATGGTGCTGGAAAAAACAGCTATTCACATGCATAAAAATGAATCTAGATCCTTCTGTCTTACCCTGTAGTGAAAGCAAATGAAAAACGGATCAAAGACCTAGATACAGTAAGTCCCTAACTTAGAAACATTCGAGTTGTGAACTCTCACAACATATAAGATTCACTTTGTCAGACTATGAACTAATCTAACTTATAAACACTCTCCCAGAATGGAATTCATCTGTAAGCTGTGGACCTACTAACACCAAATCTGCTAGAAGGTAAAATATGTAAAACTCTTGAAGACATAGGCATAGGAAAGCACTTTTAAACAAAACACCAATTACACAAGAAATGATACCAAGAAACAAAAAAGTGGAGACTACATGAACTTAAAAAGCTTCTTCTGGGGCTGGCGAGATGGCTCAGTGGTCTAAAGCACCTACTTGGAACAAGCTTGGCAAAGCACAGGGACCGCGGTTCGATCCCCCAGCACCACATGCCAGCCAGCCGCGCCCCCTGGTGGGCTGAGCTGGCCACACACACACACACACACACACACAATAAATAAATAAACTTTAAAAAAAAGCTTCTTCTGCATAGCAAAGGAAACACCCAATAGCACAAAGAAATACCCGATAAAACGTAAAATGCAGCAAACATTAATTCAAGCATCAATTTCACTTCTAAGTCTCTATATAAACTGGAGCTCATTCTCTTAACTTGCCTCATCAATGCATATAGGACTTAATCTAAGGCTTATCACCCAGTAACTTCTAACTTGAGCAAATTACTAAACTACTCTGTTTCTAGTTCTCATCTAAGGGAAAGGGAATATTCTCTAAACTATACCCCCATGCCTCACCACAATGAGTACTTATAAAGTGTGGCTATGAACCATAAAACAAAAAAATATCGTGGAGTATGAAAAGTGTAGTTGAGAAATAAAAACTAATTCTAATTCAAAATATTACAACTGTAACTGATCTCAGTACCTGCAGCTGCTGGAATTCCTCCATTTCTTGTCTTGATTCCTCAGACTGCTTCTGAGCTTCTTCCTGCTGAAGCTGGTGAGCCAGTTCTAGGTCAGCAGAACACTGAATTCTCTCCATGCCTATTAAACATTCTTAGTGTTCAGAACAAAATAACCACTACCATCAAAGCTATTAACCAACAAATATCTTAAAATAGAAAAAGGGTCACTATTTAGGGTTGTGAGTTTACAGAACCGTGAAGCACCAATACAGCAGAGTTCAGAAGGGCTTTTGCTAAGGGAGTGACCTCCATTTACACACATCCAACAGGTAAGTTCTGGCCCTGTGACCAGGCCTCCAGCTCAGCTAGTTGCTAAATAAGGCACTATACACACTGTGGACATTACAATATTTCAAACAGGGCCGGCCAAATAGCTCAGTGGATTAAAGCGCCTGAAAGCAGGCACAGGGGCCGGGGGTTTGCTCCCTAGGCCTGCAATGCTGGCCCCTCTGCTGGGGCATGCTGAGATGGCAACTGAGACTGGGTGTGGTTGTGCAGGCCTGTAATCCCAGCTCTTGGGAGGCTGTAAAAAAAAAAAACAGGTGGATCACTCCGAGTCTGATCTAGTAGTGAGACCCTGAACACCCTGTAGACCCTTCTCTAAAAAAATACACACAAAAAAAAAGATTAAAAGAAAAATATTCCAAACAAACAAATGTTCAAAAGAAACTTCAACTGATGACTTTACTTTTATTTGCATAACTTTTACATGTAGTATAATGTATAATAACATATAACTGGAGTACTGTACTGTTTAGTACAATTAGCAAAAAATACCAAAGGACAGAAAATAACATATAAGTATACATTCATGAAATACAGATATTAATAATTCCATTACAATTGGCCCCAAACTGTATAACCTTGTAATATTTTGGCCTGCATTCTCCTAATTCCTTAGATTCACTGGTCAGTACCTTCTATTTAGTTTCTTATCTCTTGGCCTGTGTTAGGGTTTAGCAAAAAAAAAAAAAGAGAAAGACAAACATGTATATGCATGTTAGAGAATTAATTAGGGGACTGGCTCACACGATCATGACAGCCTGCAACAGAAATCAGTACCACGGGTCAGTCCAAGAAGCAAGAATCAAGAGACCAAGGATGTACACCTCAATGGAACAGCCCCAAAAGAGCCAATGCTGCAAATCTCAAGAGTCCAAAGGACAAATAAGCTGGGGCCTGATATTCTAGTCAAGAGAAAAAGGCCCTGTGGTACAGAAGCACGAGTCAGAGTGAGCCCTTTCTTTAGCTTTCCTGCTCCATCCAGCCCCAGCCACACCATAGACAATTTATGCCCAGTCAGTTTGCTGACACACACGCCAACCTCCTCTGGAAACCACCTCACAGACATGTCTGAAAATAATGCCTCACCAGTTCTGAGGCATTCCTTAATCCTAATTAGTGACAATCCCTGAAACTGATGGTTTAATGGCTTAAGTGAATATTTGTTTTTCTTTTTAAATCTCTCAGCTACTGGTACATGTTCCTATTTGTCCGCCCCTTCTATTCTTGGGATACACAATTCATAATCAATTTTTGTGTATACTGAGCCTATCTGTAATGATCTGCTCAGGCCATACCTGTCTCTTAGTACTACCTAAAGGCTTACACAAGAATATACGCCCCATACAGAGCTGATCATAGCAAAGGAGGACTTACTAGATGGTCAGCCTCAGCGTGGATACCCTGCGCAGTATTCCCTTGCAATTATGTCCAATGGAGAAGAGCACACCAACTAGTGGGCAGCAGAGTAGCACCAAAGAGAGGACTATTCCATCCTGGCTCCAGTAAGCCTATCTTAGGATGAGGCTGGGTGAGCCGGCTACACTGTGCTTAGAGATAACTGATATTCACACCAGGATTATTGATACTGAACACAAAGACTCCTACAGCACTAACAATTACTTTCAAAAACTAAAATAGAGGGCTGGGGAAATAGTCCAGCGGCATAAACACCTGCCTGGCAAGCGCAAGGTCCCAAGTGTGATGCCTGGTACCACAAAAAACAAACCTGAAATGGAGTAGAATAAAATTGCTTCCCTTAGGGTCTCCTTTATATTCTTTTTCAGTGGGTTTGTGAAACTGACATAGGATTCTTCCACTTCTAAAGTACCATGATTACTTAATTCCAGTATTAGTCAAGATAGAGAACATTTAGTCATTATTAAACTAATAAATAGTTTTACCAGGTGCAGAAAACAGCCAGAAATGCAATGAGACTCTCAGGCTATACAGGTCACACACATATTTAAAATTATATTGTCCAGCTTCAGGGATACAGCTCAGTGGCACAAGCGCCTGCCTGGCAAGTGCAAGTCCTGAATTTGATCCTTAGTACCAAAAAAAAAAGTCCATGTGGCAGCTTCTTTTTTTTTTTTTTTTTAAATTTATTTAATTTATTTATTTGTGTGTGTGTGTGTGTGTGTGGCCAGCTCAGCCCACCTGGGGGTGGGGCTGGCTGGCATGTGGTGCTGGGGGATCGAACCGCGGTCCCTGTGCTTTACCTAAGCTTGTTCTAAGTAGGTGCTTTAGACCACTGAGCCATCTCACCAGTCCATGTGGCAGCTTCTTAGCACAACAGCTTTTGCTGGTCAAATACTAACTTCAGTCATTTCCAGCAGATGAAGGAATGAGATCAGTTTGTAAATAAAACATTTTTTAAATGGCATAACAGTTGCCGGGGTTCGATCCCCAGGCACACTGAGATGGTGACTGAGACTGGGTGTGGTGGTGCGTGCCTGTAATCCCAGCACTTGAGAGGCTGTAAACAGGAGAATCACTACAAGACCAATCTATGGAGTGAGACCTTGCCCTAAAATACAAAAATAAATAAATAAATAAATAAATAAAAACGGCATAAAGACTGGGTGTGGTGGTGCGCGCCTGTAATCCCAGCACTTGAGAGGCTGTAAACAGGAGAATCACTACAAGACCAATCTACGGAGTAGACCCTGCCCTAAAATACAAAAATAAATAAATAAATAAATAAAAACGGCATAAAATTTTAAGATCATTATCTCAAATGTTGGTACCTTCTAAATGTTGTTGCTCTGGAGCAAAATCCAGGATGCATATAGCTTTTACTGGGATATTTAACCGCATACTTACCTAGATTTTGTGAAGCAACTTCTAAGGAAAAAGCTGCAGCTAGATAATAATTACTTCAAGAAACAGGTTTATTTTTAAATTTCTTGCCTCACATAGTAATGCCTTGGGAAAGGTAGTCCTACAAGGCAATGTATTTTTTTAAATTTTTAATATTTTTTGTTTAATGTATTTGGTACAGAAAATTGCATTTAATAAGTTTATTTAGAACGCTAAAAAAGAAAGGAATAATGTTGTGCAGCTAGAACTCAGAGTGATCCTACTGTCTCGGCCTCCCCAGTGCTGGGATTCCAGATGTGCACCAGCACACCGCATCTCGGTGGACAACAGTGCCTGCCCAGGGCGGGCTGGCACGGCATGTGGCACCAGGAATCAGACCCAGGTCCTTGTGCTGGTCTGGCAGGTGCTTAGACTGCCAAGCTATCTCTGTAGCCAATATTTTTAAAATAAAAATATCCTTCTTTGAATGAAAAATAAATTTCTTGCCTCTACATAATTAACCTAAAAATAAAGTATGTAAAGGGTAAAAATTAAATTAAGGTTTTTCCTCTAGAAATACAGTGGTCCCTCACTTATTGTAGAGGCTATGTTCCAGACACCCCTGCTATACATAAGTGAAAACCAGTGAAGTAGCGACATGATACATATTTTAGTATTTATATATATTTTAAGACTTTATAAACTGTTCCTACATGCTTATAAACCTTTCCAACATTTAAAAACACTTCTAATGTTCTTAACCATTTTCTAAACTCATAAACCTACATAATTTTTTTTCCTGTTCTTCAGAGAAGGGTCTACACGGCGTTCAGGGTCTCACTACTAGATTGGACTCTAGTGACCCGCCTGTTTACAGCCTCCCAAGGGCTGGGATTATAGGCATGTGCCACCACGCCCAGTCTCAACTGCTGTCTCAGCACGCCCAAGGGGCAGGGGCAGCATGGCAGATCCAGGGATCGAACCATCAGCCCCTGTGCATGCTTGCAGACACTTTATCGATTAATATTTTCTAAAAACCTGCAAAAACAGTGAGTCTGTGAAAGTCTAGCCACAAAATAGTGAGGGGTTACTGTACACCCTTACCTTGTTGAAAGCTCCTTTCTTCTAAATGCAAATCAACATGTTCCTGAAGAATATGGTAATTTGTACAGATGAGCCCACACATAGGACAGTCATACAATGGTTGATCACAGCCTGTATCAGAGACATAAGTATAAGTTGATTTTTTTAACTTTACATTTTTACCACATGCCAAATACTAATTTACCTTCTCTGTGTAGGCAGATTTAAGATTTAAACAGGTTAAAGACTACTTATTACCTTACTAACCATATGCAAATAAAAGCTCTTTATAGTGGAACTTAATTTTCTATTTGTAGGGTCAGAGAGAAGTCTAATCAGTTATAAACATCTCTTAGCACTCGAAAAACAAAGTTAAAATTAACATTCAGATCTTCAAGATTAAAAGGCGAAAAGAAAATCAACATGAAGAGCAGGAGTCCATTTGGATACTGGTTTGGGGGCAAATTTTCAGTACCCACCAAACCAAGCGGAGAGATGCTAAGCTCAAGGACCCAGCACAGAGCTGGGAACGGGGATGCTGCCTCCCTCCTGGGAGCAGATCAGAGATGGAGCTATCAGGGAGCACTGCAGGCAGATGGGGCCAGTTTATCCTGAACCTGGGAGAACCTCCAAAAGATTAGAGCCTGGAGTACATGAGGCAGAGAAACAGGGCCCAGAGCTGCTTCACGGGGTGAAAGCACTGAGCAACCCACACGTGGAATCCTGGTTTGGAAGTGGAGATGCGAAACTCTACAGCCGCCTCATTCCAAGGTGAATGTAAGTGATAACACTTGCATATGAATACTAAAATACACATTACACATACACTAAGAGGCCTGACATGGTGGTACATGCCTGTAATTCCAGCACTTAGGGGGGTGAGGCAGGAGGATTGAGGCCAGCCTAGGCTACATTCTGATTTCAAGGTCAATCGGAAGCAAGATGTTATCTTAAAAACAATTCAATTCCTGGTACCAATACACACACACACACACACACACACTACACACACGGGTCCAGTACCAAGCAAAACAATCTACAAATCCAGAAACTAAGACACCATTTGCAAATAAATGGAACCAGCAGTAATCTACAAAGGACTGTTAGTAAGTATGCTTGCAGTAAGAGACTGGGAAGCTGGGCGCCACCGCACACGCCTATGATCTCAGTGACTCAGATGGCTGATAGGAGGATCACAAGTTTTAGCCCACCTGAGAAACTTAGACTGTGTCAGAGAGAGAGGA